ATTGTTTACTGAATGACTAAACCAAGACAGTCAGCACATAATGTTAACAATGTACTCTTCATATCAATGATTTCATAAAATTTACATACAAAATGTGTAAGGGGTTACACACCAAGATAGATTTCTGAGACCAGCTTTAAGAAACTTTAAATTTGAAACAGCTGACTTACACCAACATAAGCATAGGCATTCACTGGCAACCTCTAAAAGTTTCTTCATAAAAGGCAGAGACAACATATCTAATATCTATGTTTAAATTAACAAAGTGCATGGGGATTTCTGGAAGCACAGTAAATGCAACAGACAGCCCAGATCTTTAGAAAGGTGCATGATGGGACGTTAAAAGAAAGGAAACAAAATCTTTGATGCCATCAGCATTCTAATTAGAGTTCAGACTTCCAAGTTTTCTTTTCAACCCATTCCATACTCAGTATTCATGTTAAATCCATTGAAAATAACTTAAGTAGGACTGAGATGGATTAGCCTAGAAGAAGAAAAAAAGAGAGGGAAAGAAAAAAGAGACAGACTGACAGAGAAGTAGAAACAGATGGAGCCAAGAGATAATTTAATGAGAATTTTTCAAGTAATTTAGGGAAATAACACTGGCCTGAGCCAAGATTCCTGAGCTCCTTGCAAACCAAACACTAACCAGTTCTGGGCTCACATTTAAGAAACTTTACCTTTTGAATTCTATTTCCTCAGCAATAAAATGAAGCAGTTGGATGTTTGAGTCACCAAGGTTCTCCCAATGCTAAAATTCTAAATATGCATATTTGTTTGTTTATTTAAATGAAGTACAGTCAGCTACAATGTCAATTTCTGATGCATAGCACAATGTCCCATCCATACATATATATATACATTTATTTGTTTTCATATTCTTTTTCATTAAAGGTTTAAATATGCATATTTAAAGCAAAGAAGAAGAGTGGCATCAGCAATACACTAATCATTCCCAATCGGTTTTGCATATTCTTAGTGAAATAAATCTGAATAAGATAGGAAAGACTCAGTTTTGCAGAAAGGCTCTGATTTTTTCAGTAAAGTTGTTGATAAAAGAATGCTATTTTGGATTTATTTGTCACCTATGATTTTCAGTAAGTTGAAAACTATTACATATAAACTAAGACCGTGTGTCACACATAAGGGGTCCTAGAGTAGGGCTCTCTTTTTCTACAGGTATGACTCTAAAAAATGCAAACACATTATCCTTCTTTGATGCTGAATGAATTAAAAAAGCAGTAAAGTGCATACAAATCCAATCGCTACTCTAATTGCAAACAAGTCTAAGGAGCATGTTTGCTCCTTTTTCTCCCTGCCTGATATATTTCAATTTGCTCTCCCCATAATTGACTCTTCCACATCCTGAGAAATAACCAAGCATATCTGGTGAACAGCCTGAACACAGAGGTGGGAGAATGCAAAGGCCAGGTGTTCTTCGGAGATTTCTGCACGTGTCCACTCGTACATATCTGCAGGCAACATTTAATGGTAGAACAGGCCAAATGCTAGAAGTCCAGAGATTTGGATTTAATTTTTAATCTGAAAAATATTTATTTTTATTTTAAATAAAAAGTACTCATTTTATTTTATATACATTTTATTTATATTTATTTTATGTCCTACTTTCCTTACTGGTAAAATAAAGGGGCTTAGCAACTGGTTTCTAAGGCTTCTTCCAGCTCTAAAATTCTCTGACTCTCTGATGTGGTTTAACAGGCAAGGATACAGAATCAGAACTGTGGAATGACCTGGATCTTGCAGCATAATAGTGATGTTCAGAAAGAATGCTGGCCTGACTGAAATAGGGGGACCCAGCGGGGCTATAAAAGACAAGAGGTGGGGCAACATCTTTATTTGGCTAAAGGGCTTAAGTCCCTTTGCTTCTGCAAAGTATCTGAAAATGATTAAAATTATTTTGACAGCTGCAAGTAATTGGGAGGTGGGTAAAACAGGAAGTGCAGGCACACAATAACCTCACTGGTTCCAGATTCAACCAATTCAGTATTTATAGTAATTTGGACATGGGTATCTGATGTTTATTATTAGTCTACATTTTGACTTTCAAGCATTATAGAGTAAAACTAACTATAACTATAGCTCAAAACAAGACTCATTAGCATACTAGACACTTCATCTCTGATGTTATGTTATTTCTCCATTGACAAAGTGTAAATCAGAATTTCTCAGGGAGAGCAAACAGTTATTCCACTAAAGATCTCGGTTCTATTCTTTACCACTTTGTAGATAAACCTACCACCAAGAGGTTAAATACATTTGCAGATAAGTGTTCATATATTCAGGGAAAAAATGTCCTTCAAAACTCACTTTGGTAGCAACCATCATAAACTCTGCTTTTATAGTTCTTTACAATTTATATACAAAGAGCTTTTTACACCCAATTCACATGTAATTTATAGGAGAACAAGGTGCTGTTTGGAAATTACTCCTATCTACTCATTAGAAGATCTAGTGACCTTTCTTTAGCCATTAGCTTACCTTACATGTACAGTATTGAAAACTGCATTTACTTAAGAAGCATGAAAATTTTTGGTGATTTAGTGTGTGTCTCAATCCATTATTCCAAATTTCTGAGGAGCTACTTCGTAAGAAAAGGAATCCATCTATTATGGTAACTTTGTGACTGACATTCAAGAGACTGTGAGAAGTAAAGGAAATTATCATCTTTAAATTTACCTTTAAATCGTTGATACGGCATACCTGCCACCCCATTATAAAGCTGTGCAAACCTAAGTATTTAGATAAAAGAAAGGATTTTTTTGTACTTACTGCTAAATATGAATTATCATAGGAGACTTGGGACAATTTTTAGTTAATATTCATGCTTGGTTTGTTCATCTTTGCTTTAGAATTTTGAGAACTCACTAGGTAAGTTTTTTTTTTAACATTTTAAAGAACTCATTTTTGAGTTTTACTTTTAATGAAGATAATTTTATGCTACTTTGTTACTTACTCAGTGACTCAGTAAAAAGTACAGTACTTATAAGTAGCCTATCCCTTGAACACCATAAATTTATGAATCAGGAATTGTAACCCTGGATCCAAAACAATAAACCTAGAAACACACATTAGGCAGTTACTTAAATAAATACATAATTAGCAGTATATGTAGGCAAACAAAAAAAAAATAGCACTAAATAGTTATTACAGCTTTTTTTCTGAGGCTACCAAACACATACACACAAACACACACACACAATATATAAAACCAAAAACCAACAAAAAAACCCCCCTCTAATCCAAACACGATTGCCCACGTACTGACAGAACTCAGTAAATCATCCCCATACTAAATACATCAGAGTAAACGATACAGCCATTTCAGAGGGAAAAAATAAGCCAGGACTTATTAAAAAAAAAAATTTCTCGTAAGGCAGAAACGACAATTCTACATTATCAATATGCAAAATATACATATTTATCTGAGGTGCAGAAAGTATTTCCATCACCTTGTCTTTCAGTTTCATGAATTTGAAAAGAACATAGATGAAACCTACCAAGAGCATATTAATATTTTCTGGCCTGCTGTTTCACTAGAAATACACAAAAATACTTTTGTAATTCCATAAAGAAGAAGTAAAAGATGTTATGAGCTTAATTTCTCATTCTAAATTTAAATAAGTTTATAAAATATCATTATATGTGATATATATCTGATGAAAATATATATCTAACAATATTGCATTATCGAATTGAAATAACTTTCACAAGATTTTCCTTATAAAGTCGATGATCAGAAATTAACCTACATAATAAGATAAAGCAAATATTGATAATTCACAGGTGTTTTTTTCTGGTAGGCTTACATTCCTTATTGCAATGGAAAAACCTGAAAGCAAACAAACAAAAAAAAAAATTACTGTGGTTACAAATTTTCTTTCAATACTCCAAGTAAGAATATAAAGTGGGAAAAAAATCTCTTTAAACTTGGCTTCTGAATGGTTCTGTTTTTCAGAGAAACTTTTTTCCTGAATTCTGAAACCAGAAACGTGATTACCACTTTACATATCCACTTCTTGCAGAAAAAAAAAAAAAACTGTTACTTTTTCTGTTTCCCCAATAAGATGCTGCAATGTTGATCAAATAAAGGACAGATATTTTTTAAGTCATAAAGGGAAGCTTCATTTCTTTTCTTTCATCCATTTTTTCTTATGATTTCTCTAAAACTTAAAATGGAAACACGTATACATGAAGCAAAACATCAACTTAAGTTTAAAAAAACTTAACCAGGTTAAACTGAAGAACTGCACATCCACTTGGCTTTGATTCTGTAAATAAACACTAAAATATTACAGGGATTGCTGTGGTTGTTGAGAATTACGGATGCCTTTTCTTCTTTTGTTACAAAATTTTTCTGCACTTTTCAAATTTCTACACAAACATAACCTACTCAAGTTTGTCATAGTAATTTATTATGCTGATACTCATTTTACCATAATTTAACTCAGGGGAACTTTTTGTTTTTATTCTACATATGCTCTAAAAGAAAGGGAAAGATCAAAATCTATTGATGAGCTCATTGTCATGTCCAAGGGACAGCATACGTTTAGTTGAATCGTCTTCATAACTGATGTATGTTTCCAGTACTAGAAGAAAATTGTTGTTTCCACCGATGACCATTCTAACAGTGAAGTAAAGCAATTAATACAGTTTGGAATGCTTTTCAATAAAATAACTCAAAGCAAAACGTTATTTTTCTTTAATGATGTCTCTCTCTTCCTTTTACCAGAAAAACAGAACCAACAACAACCAACTCGGCACAGAGCTTTCAATACAACTTCAGATTCAACAGAATGATTTAAATACAGAGACCAGAAACCATATGGGTGGAGAAGGAAGTAAGTTTTCTATTTAACATTGACAACTAAATTCAGCAGAATATTCCATTTCCTGTATTCCACTTAATCGAATTTTACTACTTTGATATTCATAGTCTCCGAGTAAAATGAATTAACAATTGAAACAGCAGCCTGTCAAAGATCATTCCAAAATACAATTCACGAGATAAATAAAAATGCCTGTTAAAAACAGCAAGTCTTTTAATGTGTTAAAATTACTTTCCCCAATGGAGATCTTAAAAGGATGCCATTAGAGCTTTATGTCCTATTTTTATTTTCTAAGTTAGTGTTATATACAAACTCTGATGTAATGTACCTTGTTTTCAACTATGAAGCCTTCGTATAGGAAGGTGAAGTTACTAACTCACAAGTAGTAAGACAAATAGTTTGCTTTTCTGGAAGTTGTACTTTATCAACTAATTAAAACAGGGGTGAGGTTGGCTGCCTTTTTCAAAATGTCTATCATGTACCAGGCACAGAATAGATGTTTTCACCAGAGTCGTAACTGCAGAAAGCAAGCATAACCCTTATTTGAATAGGCAATGAAACGGGCGCAGTGGCTAGGCAACCTGTCAAACATCACCCACGTATTTAATTACGGAGTCCAAATTTGAACTCAGGTCTACATTCAATCCAAATTTTGGGAAAGTGCATAGTTTATCTTCCTGAGTTGGGTGTTCACACTGTGAGACATTAAAGTCTCTAATGTAATCTACTTCATCAAATACAGATTCAAACAGGTTATAAAATCCCAAATGAATTATTTTTAATGTTCTCTTCCAATGATATAATTGATCAATAATTGCCTGCTTTTCAACTCATGGACACCACCTTTGTTTTTATTAGGGTTATTACAGAAGTAATGAAAAAAAGAAAAAACAATTTCTGAGGCCTGCCTAAACAGAGGCATATGGATTTGTAACTTGAAAGGGAAAGCTTATTCATTCAAGGTAACACCTTTCTGATTAAAGGTTAAATCCACAGTCTGAAAAAAACTGAAGTCAGGGAGTTCCCCCCAACTTCTTTACATTTAATAAGTTCACTCTTCTTTGTGAGTGGAGGTTTTCTACATTAAATTGTTAAATCTACTTTTATGACCAGTCCTTAAAAAAAAAATTGATAGTGAAAACAGCAGCTTTCTTTCCATCCTACAGGCCAGGAGCTGGCACTACAGACTCAAAGAGTGGTACTCAGAGAGTGATACCTGGCGCACACCTGCCGCACCACTGCTTACAGCAGTCTCCAGTGGCTGATGATGGCCAGTGGCACAGACAAGCATGGCCTAATGAAGCTTTCCAGCTTACATCGTCAGAGTTTCTGAATGTCCTGGCACACCCAGAGGAAAGGGGAGGGATGCTAAATTGGAAAGGAAACTGAATTGAGAGTCGGCAGATTTTCATTCCAGTTCCTTCTCTCATTAACTACTTCTGTCATTCTGAACATACGACCTTTCTGAACCTCCTTCTTCTAATCCATAATGTAAATACTAGGGCCTAAAATTCCCCTGTACGGCACAAAATAGGTACTCAATGAATTTCAGCTGAATTTAAAACAAGAAAAAGGCAGGATCTTGTTCAGGACTCTCAAGGCATGAACAATGAATAAATACAAGAAATGCCACATTCAGGAGAGAGCCACCTGGAGTGATGACCGTCACTGGCCATGGTGAGACGGTTCCCCCGACGGTGGGTGGAAACCAGCCCAAGAGAAAGACAAGGAAACGCAGCAGCAGGAAGAGGCCCCAGCTGTGAGATTCTCTGGGGCACACCAGACAATCCAGCAGGCCAGGGAGATGGCCCGTTTTCCTTGATGACTACAAGAGAATGCTGATTTCACTCAATTTGCTATTGAATGAGTCACACGGGTGGACAGACTGAGAAAATATGTGAGGGAGTGGAAAAATGTAATTACACAGATGTTGTAGAACTTACTTTAAGTTAAAAAATTCCTTGCTCTGAGTGTTTTGCTAACTTTGAGTATGCACAGGGACTGATATGTCCCCCCGCCCCAGAAAACAAGCCCCCACGGCCTTATTCTTCTCGAGGGCTGAGATGCCACTGACTGAGTTCCACTGTTGTAAACCCCGGGCAGGGAGTGAAACACCACGTAGCAGTCAAACATGTTTTAGGGGATCACAACTCTAAAGGATACTTAGAGAGTGAGTTTCATTTTATGACCAGTCTGGGACTCTGGGTTTTCCCCAGGGCCAAGTTACTGTACCGATATGCAGGGTAACTCAGCCCTGGACTGTTTCTGAGTTGTGCTGAGTGTCTCAGGAAAGATAGGTGTCTGCAGGACGGGTCTTTCCAGTCCAGCCTGACACTGCTTAGGATAAGCCTGGACATCGTGTCAGCGTGGCATGCACTGTGGGTGCTGCTTACCAAGGTGTCTGTCACCAAGTGCAGAGTGTGAAGCCCGTCCAACCCGGGGGATGACTGGGGAAGGAGGATGGGACGGAAGGAAACTGATGCCAGGTAACATTCGAGGCCTTTAACGTATTTACTCTTTACACCAACCTGGCAAAATACGATTTTATTTTTTTTAAATTGGGCTCAGAAAGATTCAAAACCTTGTTTGAGGATGTAAAACTAAAATTGGGCAAACCTATGAGTCAGTTGGACTTCAAAGCCAACTATGTATGATATATGGAACAGGGACAAAAAGTTCAGTAGAAAACCTAAGTAAAGTAACATCTTCCCCATGAAGACAAGTGGTTAAAATACAGGTGAGTGCCAGAAAGACAAAAAAGTGAACCAGGAAGAGCTAAACTGAAAATAAAACCGCCCCCAAAACTTCATTATTTGAAAACTTTTTTCAGAGTCTCATTTATTCTTATTATAAACAAATCTATCAAGTTTGCTTACTGGGGTTTCAAGTCCACAGCAAAATTAGATGAAGCAGCTTTAAGGCGAGGGAGACAGAATGACTACACCAAGAAGCAGATAACAGCCAATATTATGGAGATAATTGTTACTCAGGGCACTAAGTCCATAGATACAGACTGAAGACTATTTAAAGGACGGGCAACTGCTCTATACATGATGACAACCAAATAAATGAAACACAATTTCCTATATTTTTAGTCATTTCAGCAAGGTGATCTTTAAAAATATGTAACTAAATAATTTACCATCTCTACTTCTGTAAACCAGGCTTCCTGACTTTTTTGTTGTTTTGAAAATATGGTTTCTTTCCTTCTTACATTCTGAGCATGCTAAAAGAAACACAATATTACAGCACAAAATAACTGCACTGACCCTAAGGTATCAGAAGGCCTTCACCCTGCCTCTCGCCCTGTAATTTTCCCCTGTTCTTTGTTTTACTTGCTCTCATATGGCTCACACCATAGTCTGCCCATCCTTGCTAAAAGAACTCCTCGGGGGTGAGGACTATGTCTTACTTACATTTGTAACTTCAGAGTATCTAGCACAGTGCCTTCTACATAAGGTAAACTACTTCATTACTTAAACTAATGAAATTTATGTTCAGTATACTCAATTTTAGAATACAGGGATGCACATAGAAACAGCTTCCATATGACATCGTTAAAATAAAATTCTAGGGCTTTTTGAAAAGGCAAACCTATGTGTTCATTTGTCAAATAACTATCTCCTATATTTCAGGCATTGTTGTAGGCCCAAGGATTATTTCATGGTGGACATGAAATACCAGTTTTCTGAATTTAAGGTCTTATAATCTCACAGGGGAAGACAAACAAGATATAATGAACAAGGAGATACAATATGAGATTGCAGAGAGTCATCAGTGCAAATAAGGCAATAATTTAGGATAATAGGAGAGAGGGTACTTGGGCTATCATCATTTTCAGCTTAT